GGCCAATCCATGACTAGCACATAAGGTCCAGTAACAAACCACCACTCCGGTGTCGATCAGGGGGGCCGTTCCTACCCAATCACTCCCCTCCAAGTGTCTCCACTTTATTGATCCAATTTGGGAAATGTTTAACGTAGCAGCAGCATAAAAAAAACGAAGGCAATGAACATTAGAGAATTAAGACACAAGAAATAAACAGTCCAAAATATTTCCTGAAAATAAGAAATAAATAGCATTAATAGTTAAATAGAAAATACAATACAGAGATATGAATGTATATTATATAATATCTGCTTTATATGTTGTTACTGTAATCTGTATCTCAACGTTTATATTTCCTACTTTTTAATGCTATTTTATTTCAATTTGAGATGTTTACATTTTGGATTGTTTTATTTCTATTCTCTAATTAACAATGTCTTGTCTTTTTATGCTGTGCAATCGCAAACATGTGGCACTGGGATGAATAAAGTTCTCTTATCTTATCTTTCTGATCTCTAATCTGAACTTTAGCGAGTCAAGATCACACAGGGAAACCATTCAAACGAGTGAGTGAGTAAAAATACTTTCATGTTATTGGGTTGTATCTTTCCTTATTCACATCAATCCACAAACACAAAAAAGACTTAGTTCCCATTTTGACAGTTGGAGGGGAAAGAAACAAACCAAAAACAAAACAAAACTTGTCTTTTTATGCTGCTGCAACCGCAAACAGTGTGCCCTGGATGAATAAGTTCTTTCTTAATGTTGTCTTGATGTCATATATCCACAGGTAGAGACGCTGCCTCCTGTCTCTCCTGCTCTCCTGGATACCTTCTCTCAGACGGCAGATGTGAGTCCATGTGCGACGTCGGCCTGTTTCCTGTGATGAAGGTAACCACACAGCACTTTTCTTAGGGTTTTAATTTCACAAATATTAACTTTTTATATTAAAAAATAATCCTTTCCCGTCCTTAAATTCACCAAAAATAATTCATATAATGTTTTGCCCTAAGGGTATCGTATAATGGTATTCAGACAGACTTATTACTGCACCAGGAGAAATCTCACAGAACATTGTTTAGTTCAAAAAAAAGTCTCCTGGCTCGTGCTGCGAGGCTTCTTACGGAAAGTGTTCTGGCAGGTAGATGCATATATATATTTAAGCTGAAGGCAGAGCATCACCTACATTATAATTATTTTAGAAATGAAAGCTATGCACATCCTTTTGAGGCAAAAAAATCTATTAAATTTCAGTTCATTTTATAATTTAACAGTGAGAAATACAAGTACAACCATAAGACACAATGGAGACACCATGATTAGCTTTATGAAGTTTAAAAAATGGTAGGACGGACACTAAGCAATGTTTCCTAACATTTAAAGCTCAAGGTGTGTGTGTGTGTGTTGTGGTGTGTGTGTGGTGTGTGTGTGTGTGTGTGTGTGGTGTGTGTGTGTGTGTGTGTGTGTGTGTGTGTGTGTGTGTGTGTGTGTGTGTGTGTGTGTGTGTGTGTGTGTGTGTGTGTGTGTGTGTGTGTGTGTGTGTGTGTGTGTGTACACTCTATCTTAATTCTACCGTGTGTTCCCATCAGGACTCAGGCCATGTGTGTGTGGACTGTGACGGGTCCTGTCTGGAGTGTCGAGGACCCGGTCCAGCAAACTGCTCCATGTGTCCTCCTCAGGCCATCTTAGAAGCGGGGGGGCGCTGTCTGCTGTGTTGCCTCCATGATGATGAAGAGGAGGAGGAGGAAGAGGCAACAACGCCGGAGCAGGACTGTTGTAACTGCACCGAGACTCGAGGTAGGAGGAAGGAGAGAGAGAGAGGTGTTTCTTCTGGAGCTGATAAACTCTGTCCCGGCTGACATTTAGATCTCTTTCTCACTCACTACTCAGGGAAATGTCAGAGACCAGAAACAAATCCCTGTCTTTATTTCCCAGGGCTGAAGAAGGTGTTTTCAAGTTCCTGTTTTTTTGTGAACGAAAAAAAGTTATGGTGTGTGGAATGTCAAAAAACTTGGAAAGCAGAAAAATGTATGAGTAGAATATTTGGAAAAGTTCACCAAAAACGTCACGTCTTCATGTCTGCACCCCGTAAAATGTTAAAGTGATGCCAGAAAACAATATTTCTGTTCGTCAAAAACTGTATAATTACTCCAGAAACATGAGCAGTCAAACAGAGCGTCAGACGGCAGAGACAGCTTTGTTTTTACGGAGCTCCGACGTCACGTTGTTGTTTACGTCCACGGCGCCATCTTGTATACGGGCGTCATGTTCTCGCCAGAATTGAAATATCTTATAAACAAGATCAGCGCCTCAGTATCGCCTCATACTATATATTACTAGAATAACCCCTATTTGAAACAAACAAATACGTCGTGGTATAGAATTTCGAGGGTTAGTAAGTCGAAAAAAATAGTGTCGGAAATTTGAAAAGAAAACCGTCATAGAATAGTTTGTTGAAAAAATTGCATTGGATAATATGTTGAGAAAATGATATTGTATATTAAATGAAAAAATATAAGACGTTGTACGAAGAATGTCCCATATAGTCGAGCGGTTAGGATTCCTGGTTTTCACCCAGGCATGCTATAGCATGTTAAACTAGAGAATGCAATTCCTGAAGAAATTGCTAGTGGGAATGCTTTACGCTGAAAATGTGACGCTAAACTGCTATGCTGAAATGTAATGTGTAAGAAGAAAGTGAAGAATTTAGATTGAAACAATACATGAACACTGGGGGGGCTTGAATGTGTGATGAGAGAAGAAACTAAAGTAAAAAGGCTTGGAAAAGCAGCAGAATATTTGAACTGCAAACTTCTGAACTAACTTGATGGCGAATGATCTGTCGAGTGGTCTGTTGCCATGGCAACTGTATTGATTGCATGATGACACCCCATAATACGCTTAGATGCGTTGATGGCTGATTCGTTACCAAACCTGTGAAGTTTTGGGCCGTTAGGAGCATTTTCACTGAAATTATGAGAAAACCGTGTTTCATGGCGAGCATTGTGTTGCCATGGCAACGGCATTTGAAGAAATCTCAAAACTGTCCCGTAGATGTCTTCACGGCTGGACTGTTAGCCATAAAGACCATTGTTCTGAATTAGAGATAAACCTCTTACATGTGAACGTTTTGTTGAAGAACCGGAACAGATATCGGTGACATTTCAAAGCGTGAAGCATCTCAAGGACCTTGAGTATCTGAAGTGTCCTTTTTGTGTACTTTCGGGTCAATAATGTGGCCTTTTTGGCAGATTAACTAAAGGTGTGCTGCTGCTGCTGCTGCGAGGAAATATCCGCCTGAAATTTCAATGGGTTTTAATTGAGACATGTTGAACGTTTTTGTCACTTCATGCCCTCAAGAGGCATTTTGTATAATTATTTTTGCTTAATTATTTGTAATTTTTCAAGCTACTAGATGTTTTCCTACATTTGTCATGAAAAAGTATGTCACTAGCTGTGACATTAATGTTAATGTTAAAATCTGAAGAAGGCCTCTGCACCAAGGTCTGAACAATGTATACTATTTCTAAAAGTAAGAATCAAATTTAAAAGTTGTTTTACACGAATCATTTCAGAAAGATGTGTAACATTTTAAAGTTGGAATGAGGTTTCTGAGTGAAAGTATGAATGAACAGTTAGCAGTTGAAGTCGCATGAAGATTTGTTGAAGTCCGAAGAATTTCTCCATTGACTTCAATGG